GGACGCTAAATATGCAATCACGTGCTTAATTGTCCTCAGATTACCGTTTTTGGCATCATCGACTTCTCGGGGTGACGCGTCGCTGGAGGAAGAGCGTCCAGCGGAATCCATCACTCACCGCTTTGGTCTGCATGAAGCAACAATCTGACTGATTGTGACCAGCTGGGTGCTTTATTTTGAAAAGAAGACGGTGAACGCTGCTGATGCTGAACTGAGCGGCTCTGCTCCACCGGCTAAAATTACACCATATTTGAATCTTTCTCCCACGCGCTGATCCGCTCGCTTCCAAAGGTCGATCATGAGCCTGAACTCGACATCACAGCAGCTTCTTCCACACATTAACACTCCAGGACTCACTTCCTCTTGCTGTATGTGTTTTCTTTTCCATTCAGCTCACGTACACTGGTGGTCCGTAGCTGAAAATGGCCACAATACATCTTTTCAGAGGGAAGCGGGGGAGGGGGGGGATGATGGGGTCTCTGATCAATACCACTAAATTGATTGCTTCCTCAGCTGAAATGTAAAATCTTAAAACTTAGTCTTGTGTGTAAGGTCATCAAGAACGTTGTCTTTTCTGTTGTCCTCTCTTGTGCTGTCTTTATGTTGGAGGTTTTGTCTTTAATCTAGACGTTTTGTTCATAGGGCGGTCTGAAGTGATGCATTACTCTGAGCTGCTCAACATGTTGACAAGACATTAGTGCAAGAGTCCACACAGAGCAGGAGTTCCCCTTATAAATAACTATAAAATAATTCCATTTCATTTGTCAGTTATATTTCATTGTTCCATTGCGGTTAAGATATAGGCATCACGGTTTGTCTCTTGTTGACTTTTCTGCCCACGATACACACAGGAGTCATGTAGAAACGAGTTGCTGCAGAGAGAAACGAAGAGTCTGCATGTGTGTCTGTCAAACTGTATGAAGGCTGTCAGGACTGATGTGTTCCAAAACTGGCATCAGTTAATAGAGCTACAAATCCAAAGTTACAGAAGAGAAACCAAAGGTTTTCTTTGAGGATCAGGTTGAACGCTGAAAATGGCTAAACTGATGAATGCAGTAACAAAAAGAATAAATCAATCTCTTCTTTCTTTTTCAAACACGGAACATCCCAACCAACCAAAAATGTTGGCATTGTGCATCTCTTTAAACCGCAGGATGAGTTTTATGACGGTGTTTTTGCAACCAAAAATATGTGTCTATGTGTCATATCAGCCTTATATCACGCTTGCAGATCAATGAAATGAAACGATTGCTTAGGTTACTTGGTTAATGTTAGAAAAAACATCATGGTTTGTGTTAGAATAAATACGTAACAACGTAACGTAAAAACGTAACGTAACAACGTAACGTAACAACGTAACGTAACAACGTAAGTACCGTAAATAAATAACAATCACCCTTAGCAGACTTCCGTAAGTAACAAGCATGACAATGTTACGTAACAAGCGTAACATCAACAAACACCGTTCTCCTGGGTGAAAGTCCTGTGTTTGTTTGACCAACACACCACTCCTCCCACGCTCAGTGGACTACTTCGCTTGCTGTACTCGGTATTACACCACGTTACTTCCAATAACTGTTGCTCTGTATACTACCTCACTCGCTCTGACCGAAAGCAAAAACTTCGACATTCAACGTATCCATAGTTTGCAGAAACGTACAATGCCAAAAACCTTTTCCCGGGGAGTGGATGACGATTTGGTCGGGGATTTGGTTTTGTTAGGCTGGTAGCGGCTGATATAGCTGCTAGCCTCGTTGCTCGGTTGAGTTCCCCTTTCAGAGTGTAATATACATAACATGCTTTTAGCAGTTTTTTTCCACTATATTCAATTTAGTTTAGATAAATAATCCAGGGCTGCAACTAACAATTATTTTCCTTATCGATTAATCTGCCGATTATTTTCTAGATTAATTGTTGGTACCATAAAAAAACAGTAACAAATCCCAATTTCTCAGTTTAAGATCCAAAGTCCAAGGTGATGACTTTAAATGTCTTGTTTTGTCTATTTAAAAAACCAAAATATTCAGTTAAATATAATATAAAACAGAGAAAAGCAGGAAATCCCCATATTTGACAGCA